ACGAAGCTGGAAAAAGTCCAAAGGTATGCCACTAGACTAGTCCCAGAACTAAGAGGCATGAGTTACGAGGAAAGGCTGCGGGAAATGCACCTCACGAGACTGGAAGACAGAAGAGTAAGGGGAGACATGATTACAACCTAGAAAATCCTAAGGGGAATCGACCGGGTAGACAAGGACAAACTATTCAACACTGGAGGGACGCGAACAAGGGGACACATGTGGAAGCTGAGTACCCACATGAGCCACAGAGACGTTAGAAGGAACTTTTTCAGTGTCAGAGTAGTTAACAGGTGGAATGCATTAGGCAGTGATGTGGTGGAGGCAGACTCCATACACAGTTTACAATGTAGATATGATAGAGCCCAATAGGCTCAGGAATCTGTACACCAGTTGATTGACAGTTGAGAGGCGGGACCAAAGAGCCAAAGCTCAACCTCCGCAAGCACAAATAGGTGAGTACACACACACAGAGATAAGTCTGTACAGGGTATGATGGACTATGTTACCCAAAAGGGTCAGGAGGCAGTAAACAGGTTCATCCCGGCCCAAAGGAAAAATCCGAAAAGCAACAGAAGAATCCATGGTATAATAGGGCATGTATGGAAGCGAAGAAACTGAACAAAAGGGCGTGGAGGAACTTCCGGAATAACAGAACACCAGAAAGCAGAGAGAGATACCAGAGAACCAGGAATGAGTACGTCAGGGTGAGAAGAGAAGCAGAGAAAAATTATGAAAATGATATAGCAAACAAAGCCAAGACCGAACCAAAGCTACTCCACAGTAACTTCAGATGGAAAACAACAGTGAAAGAACAGGTAATGAAACTTAGAACAGGCGAGGACAGGTATACAGAGAATGACAAAGAGGTGTGTGATGAACTCAACAAGAGGTTCCAGGAGGTCTTCACAATAGAACATGGTGAGGTCACTGTGCTAGGAGAAAGGGAAGTAAACCAGGCGGCCTTGGAAGGGTTCGAAATTACGAGAGATGAGGTCAAGAGACACCTGTTGGATCTAGATGTGAGAAAGGCTGTTGGTCCAGACAGGATCTCACCATGGGTATTGAAAGAGTGCGCAGAGGCACTTTGCTTGCCACTCTCCATAGTGTATAGTAAGTCACTAGAGACGGGAGACCTACCAGAAATATGGAAGACGGCGAATGTGGTCCCAATATACAAAAAGGGTGACAGGCAAGAGGCACTGAACTACAGGCCAGTGTCCTTGACTTGTATACCATGCAAGGTGATGGAGAAGATCGTGAGAAAAGTCTAGTAACACATCTGGAGAGAAGAGACTTCGTGACAACCCATCAACATGGGTTCAGGGAGGGTAAATCTTGCCTGACTGGCTTAATAGAATTCTACGATCAGGTGACAAAGATTAAGCAAGAACGAGAAGGCTGGGCAGACTGCATTTTTTTGGACTGTCGGAAAGCCTTTGACACAGTACCGCATAAGAGGCTGGTACATAAGCTGGAGAGACAGGCAGGAGTAACTGGTAAGGTGCTCCAGTGGATAAGGGAGTATCTAAGCAATAGGAAGCAGAGAGTTACGGTGAGGGGTGAGACCTCAGAATGGTGTGAAATCACCAGTGGAGTCCCACAGGGCTCTGTACTCGGTCCTATCTTGTTTCTGATATACGTAAATGATCTCCCAGAGGGTATAGACTCATTTCTCTCAATGTTTGCTGACGATGCCCAAATTATGAGAAGGATTAAGACAGAGGAGGACTGCTTGAGGCTTCAAGAAGACCTAGACAAACTAAAGGAATGGTCGAACAAATGGTTGTTAGAGTTTAACCCAAGCAAATGTAAAGTAATGAAGATAGGTGTAGGGAGCAGGTCAGATACAAGGTATCACCTGGGAGATGAAATTCTTCAAGAGTCAGAGAGAGAGAAAGACTTGGGGGTTGATATCATGCCAGACCTGTCCCCTGAAGCCCATATCAAGAGGATAACATCAGCAGCATATGCTAGGCTGGCTAACATAAGAACGGCATTTAGACACTTGTGCAAGGAATCATTCAGAACTTTGTATACCACATATGTCATACCAATCCTGGAGTATGCAGTCCCCGTATGGAGTCCATATCTAGTCAAGCGTACGACTAAACTGGAAAAAGTTCAAAGGTTTGCCACCAGACTAGTACCTGGGCTGAGAGGTATGAGCTACGAGGAGAGACTACGGGAATTAAACCTCATGTCGCTAGAAGACAGAAGAGTTAGGAGGGATATGATCTCCACGTATAAGATTCTCAGAGGAATTGACAGGGTAGATAAAGACAGGCTATTTAACACAAGGGGCACACGCACTAGGGGACACAGGTGGAAACTGAGTGCCGAAATGAGCCACAGAGATATTGGAAAGAACTTGTTTAGTGTCAGAGTGGTTGACAAATGGAATGCATTAGGCAGTGATGCGGTGGAGGCTGACTCCATACACAGTTTCAAATGTAGATATGATAGAGCCCAATAGGCTCAGGAACCTGTACACCTGTTGATTGACAGTTGAGAGGCGGGACCAAAGAGCCAGAGCTCAACCCCCGCAAGCACAAATTGGTGAGTACACATCCCTTGTCTCTAGTGATAATTCACCTGGCTCCCCCCCCTCCCAGGTACACCTGCGGCACCTGGGTGACTGTCACCCTCACCTTTGTCACCTTGAACTGTTCCTGGAGCGGCGTGCCGTCGACGCCCTGTCTGGCGCCAAGTAAGTCCATGTTTACTCCTTTAATTAATACTTAATTGTAATCTCTGGTGTTCCAGTTTAAGCCACGACCATTATAGCCAATGGTGGATAAACAAACCTGTGGATCGGCCTATCCGGTAAAGTCATTTAGTAAAGTTAAAGATATCGCCTCAGTTCGTAATCCGGTTGGGTCATGTCCCCCTCCACAGCGACGACCTTCGACAACCTGTTTGTGTTTTATAATTGCTCGCTTAACAAGCCGCTAGCTTCCTGCCCCCGGCGAGATCACTAGAGATGGTGACGGCCGGTTATATCGCTGATGGCAGGTAGGCGGTTCCTTGGGTCTATAACCCCTTAGGGGTAAAAAAGCTTGTTCTGTTGCGTGCTCTGTTAGGCAGCATCTTGCCCTGCTTGAATCCTCACAGTTAAGATGAAAACCTTTGTGTAAATACTTTTAAGCCTCATTCTGTGTTGATACGATCGTAGTTCCCCCCAAAATATATTCGAATAGAGTATTTACTCACTCAATTCAATTCCAAAATATTGGCATTCGATCAAATAGTATTTTTTAAAGTTACCGATGTTTCGTGTCCATTTTCTATAGTTCTTGATCTATAATGTTTGGGGTGACTTGTATAACTTTCGTTAAGGATTACAACAAAAATGTCAACTTTTCCAGCAACCACCGTGGCAACCACGACCACAACAGCGGCGCCCACAACTACTACAACAGCAGCAGCGGCCACAACAACAACCTCCACACCAGCCCCCACCACAACAGCGGCCCCCTCAACAACAACTACAACAGCAGCAGCTCCTTCAACAACAACAACAGCAGCAGCTCCTTCAACAACAACCACTACTACAACAACCACAACAACAACACCAACAACCACAACCACCACAACACCACCACCTCCAGCCCAACCACCAGGTGAGTTAACAAATATATTTCAACTAGACATTAACTATCAAACAAATCCGATATTTGAATATACAATGAATAACTATATATATAATTGTTGATACACCATGAATAAATTGTTCATGATATATAACTAATATTCTGTAATATATCGTATAAATTATTCCCGATAATCAATACAATTCACATAAAATATTAATGAATCAACTTTTGAAATTGGCTGAATAAAATTTCAATTATTTCTTTTAATTAATATAAGACTTTAGAATCTTAGAGGAAGCATTATGTCCCTAACGAGTATATAAGACTCGTGTGAGTAACTATTGCATGTATATCTATTTTTCAGCACATTTCTTACGAATAGACTATTGATATGGGATGAATTACACATGTTGATATATTGAAATGAATAACATTTGAATAACAAGTTCTTTCATGATATAGAAATTGAATGAAAAGTTATTTTTAATATTTTAATGATTTAACAAAACAATTTTTGACCTATAGGTGGAGCTGCGATGTCTCGCGATAGAACGACTTCTATTTCAATGGTGTATGCTAATATTGTCGAAGGTTTTTCTTTCAGATTATTCAGGCTTATTCCTCTATATTCTCTCTAATTTTAACTTCTTCTGTGTATTTCCTCTCTGTTGCCTCCTGTGTGTATGTGTTGTGTGTATCTCCTGTGCGTGTGTGTTCACACATTATATATATATATATATATATATATATATATATATATATATATATATATATATATATATATATATATATATATATATATATATATATATATATGTGTGTGTTGACAAATTTATTCCATATGAAACCATTGAGATAACATAATTGATCTTTAATAATTATGATGTATGTTAATCTAAGACATTTATCAATTACCCATACATACAATTTATCTAACAAAGTAGAGGAAGTGTCACTCATTTATGAACTCAATCTCAATACTGTTTCATTACGTATATAATCATTTGAAATCTACATATGTTCTGTAATTAAATTAAATTTCATAAAATGGTTTCTTTCTTATAATTATTGTTTAAATATAATAAAATATTGTATACGTTTTGCCAGTTTTTTAATAATTTGATCCTAATATATATATATATATATATATATATATATATATATATATATATATATATATATATATATATATATATATATATATATATATATAGCAATCTTCTCCTATTTGGTAACATATGCCTAGCTGTCCCTGCAAGGAGAGACAAATCACTAGCTTCCTCGGTCATTATGGCTATAAATAGTTTTCCTTGAGAGGACAACCAGGCACCCCTCCCCACCCGTGCCAATAATACCGCAGGAAAGGTATCAACAGCAGAACCGAGGCATCCAAAATCAGAGCAACAG